CCCCAAAACCCCAAAACCCCAAAACCCCAAAACCCCAAAACCCCAAAACCCCTCATGAAGAAGCATTTATTGAGACAGCAGCTAGATATAATTAATATTTTAAATACTAACCATTACCCGACAAATGAACAATTATCTCTTTAATACCAGCGGAATGAACTATTTCGGCATGGATGACAACATGGGGTTAGCCCATCCCACCCCAGTGATGCAGAGGCGCAATAGTTTGCCAAATCTCCAACAATTAGCCTCAAGCTATTGCCTCTGTGAATTGTCAGGTACTGATTTTACCAGTGAATTACCGGACTGTCTGAATCATATCGCTTACTGTAACCAAGATAGTACTATAACTTCAGGAACATCCCCAAAATTTGAAGGAGTCGAGAACTATACATACATTGGTGGTTCTGGAATAAGTGAAAGCAATCGCATAAATAAAGGAAAAATTGATGAGCACTACTTCCACTCTCTCTCGAAAACAAAAGAATCCAGTGAATCCGGTAATAGAAAATCTCATCATGATATGGTGAATTATGAAGTCCTGAAGGGCCACAAGTACGAAATTCTCCCTAACCCTAAGAAAGGGATGAAGAATGCAAGAATTTTTGTCTGTAAATACGACGACTGAGATAAGGTCTTCTCAAAGACTTGGAATCTTGTGTACCATTTCAGAGTTCATACGAAGGAGAAGCCCTTCTTATGCGAAAAATGTGGAAAAGGATTTACCCAAAAGTACAATCTTATCAGACACATGAATAGGCACGCCAAAAATGAGAAGCTTGGCAAGGTGATGCACAAGTGTCCCGACTGTTATAAGAGTTATTCAAACATCTATAACTTACGTTCTCACCAGAAGCGTGATCATGGCATTGTAAAGAGCATACCAGCTAATTCTACTAGTGTCTCATCAAGTGATTCAGTTAACGGATCTCCTACCAAAGCTTAAACGGCTTCCGGAAAAATTGGGATAAAGTCAAAAATTAGGCTGGGATAATCTACTCAGTTCTATTACCTTAATTATTAGTATTAACTCCAAAATCAATATTCAATTCAGTTGCTGCCATTCGGGGTTTTGGGGTTTTGGGGTTTTGGGGTTTTGGGG